ATCTTTAAACTTTTCTCACTAATTTGAAATGACATAAAACATGGTATACACTGAGCTTTAAGTTATGTAAGTGTTATATGTCATCACTTGTTATGATTTTTTGTTTCTTTTTTGTAAATCACATCCGTCTTCATTAGCCCACATGGTGCAGAAAAGTAGGACGTAAAACGCCATTCATTTCATTTCATTTTGTAAATCAATTTTTTGTGTGCATTGATTTTTACAAATTTGTCTTAAAGGTACAGGTGCACAATATTTTTTTACCAATAATACTTTAATCTCAGAAATCAGAATTTATCAGTATTAGTGTTTACAGCTCACCGTCCAAATTTGAGCCTTCAAATCCATGTGTGTAAAGAATTATCTGCGTTTGAATGTTAAAATGATGACTATTTACTAAACCCCCCCCCCCCGCACCCCCCCTCCCAAATTGCTGTCCCTTTAAAAGTGTTGAATTATTGATAGAAATAGTTCGCTTTTGTTTTAAATGAGCATTTTTAATTTACGTATATTATAGAAATAAATATTTTTTAATATAGAGGTTTCAGTCTTTTTCCTTTCTTTTACCGCTTTCAGGATCCATCATCAATTGCATTACCCCTCCCCCAATAAATCTTTAATATTAATCGTTACTATTTCATGGATCTTAATTTTTGAACAAAATTTTGAGCTGCTTTTTCTTTAAATGAACAAAATTTTGAGCTCTCTTTAAATGAACACAATTTTGAGCTCTCTTTAAATGAACAAAATTTTGAGCTCTCTTTAAATGAACAAAATTTTGATCTCTCTTTAAATGAACAAAATTTTGAGCTTCATTCTCTTTAAATGACATAGATTTTAGGGTGCCTTTTCTTTAAATGAACAAAATTTTGGGCTACCTTCTCTTTAAATGAGCAATAAAGATAAGTGTTGATCAAGTGATGTAATTTGAATAAGAGAGGCTAGTGAAGTGGTTTATCCCTTAAAGTCAATAGATTTACATAGCTAACATTATAGTGGATAGAAAGTTAACACTCTACTTAGTAAAAATAGAGAAACCATTTACAATTTTTGTGCTTCCTGATTTGTTTTTAAAATACATTTTTTTCTTACCTCGAGTCAAGTATTTTTTAAAACTTTAAATGCTATTTTTTTTGATTAAATTGATATCTACCTCATTCAAACTTGAAATAGTTTTTAAAAGGGATTCTATATGTTTTGTTTTTTCATGCCTCTTGCATGTTATGAATTATTTGTCCCATCCTACTTATAAAGTATTTTTAAACTTGTATGGGATTATTTGAAGTTTTAATAAGGGATTCAAACGGGACTTTTCTAGCTATAATATGTGCAGCTTAGATTAGCTTTGTATTTTTCTTCTTGTGCCTGGTTTCTCCAATTATTGCCAAACTTAGACACTATTATCACTTACTTGAAGTATTTGATTTTATATCTATTGTCTGAAAGTATTTGATTTTGTGTATAATGTCTGAAAGTATTTGATTTTGTGTCTGATGTTTGTAACTATTTGATTTTGTATCTGGTGTCTGGAAGTATTTGATTTTATATCTGATGTCAGGAAGAATTTGATTTTGTGTCTGATGTCTAAATATTTGATTTTGTGTCTTAAAAATCTATGTTGTAGTATAGATTTGAGGTCTGGAAAGTTTTATTGTAAATCTGATGTCTGAGTATTTTGGTATTTATAGTAAGTAAGTTTTAATTACTAAAAGTTACTACCACTTAAACAGTGAATGTAAAAAGCCTGAGAGTAAGTAATTGTGTCAGGTTGTTACTATAAATAAAGTTATTTTAGTATTATCAGGAATATTTTTACAAGCAATGTCAGGAACTTTGATACTAACTTTTTCTCACCTGTCTGAGTTTTCTATTTTTATTTAATAGAAATTTAATCCCCATCACTTGAAAGGTTATGTGTCTACTTTAGATAATTCAATTGATTTACAATTCAAGCTCTTTTAGTTTTTTTTAGACTGTTGGTATCTATGGAATTTTGATATTTTTGGATTATTTTGCTGTATTTACCAGTCATGTCTGACTGAATTTCTGAAATGTTCAATATGATTGAATTCTTTTAATTTTTTAGACTGTTGGTATCTATGGAATTTTGATATTTTTGGATTATGTTGCTGTATTTACCAGTCATGTCTGACTGAATTTCTGAAATGTTCAATATGATTGAATTCTTAATAAATGATAGAGTGTATGTATGATATAAATGAAAGCAATTCTTAATTATTTTAATATACAGGTTAGTTTCAGTTGAATTTTTTGTATTTTTTGTTCAAATTCTGGAACTGTAGATTCCCTATATTTTTAACTTTGAAAAAATTTCAACTTTCAATTTGAGCAGTCACACAATGATATGAACCCAGACTAAAAAAAAATCTTTAAAAAAGAAGATGAGTCTACAGACCTTTACCCTATTCTAATTGTTAAAATAATGTTATCTATTAGTATTTATCTACTGTGTTAACTACAAATAAAGACTACCGTAGATAATAATGACTGTTTTATTTAATAGTGACCTACTACCTCAGTAACCTTAGTCACTATTAACCACTGATACTTTAAAACTTAACTAGACCTAAATTAACAGATTCCTCTTATAGATTTCAGAAAATCATTTTTTTCAATCTAGTGCCAAAATACTACCTTAACCCTTTTAACACAAGTGAACTCTCTGACATCATCAGCTGTTACTTAGTTTTCCCATATATTGTAAAGTCCATGGTTCATCTTTTAGGGGGTTGATTTGAGTCGTGAATATGTTAATAGACTTCAGAAGTACTAGAAATGCATGAAAAATTGTATGATTTGTTCTGATATAGGGGAGACCGGGGCAGATTGAACCTTATTTTGTTATATCAAGTAGAACTCTATCAAATAACTTCAAGTAACTTTCTGTAAAATAAACTTATATATCTTGTCTATTATCATTGCAATTTAACCCTTTCAACCCTACTGGCCAGTTTACCGGCTACGCACTAACGCAATATATACCCAAGCAGCCGGTATACCGGCCACACACTAACGCTATATATACCCAAGCAGCCGGTATACCGGCCACACACTAACGCTATATATACCCAAGCAGCCGGTATACCGGCCACACACTAACGCAATATATACCGGTATATCGGCCGTTACTAAGTGACGTCATACAACGTTAACGTCATATATATATATATATATATTTCATTTACACTCATTTTTTGTTTCTATCTTTACTGATTTCTCTGTTGCCTTAATATTGTAAGTCTTGTCTCATACAGTGTGTGCATGCTTTAGCGGCTAGTTCCATTTATGAACTACTCTTCAACATGGCGGTCTGAGGAAAGACGAGTCATAGGGTAAAAGGTGTTGTCCCATGTAGAGAAAGAACTCAAAGATACTTTGCTGAAATGACTACCATAATTATTTGAAAAATGATATATATAATGTTTAACAAAATCCTGTCAAAGTTTTCTTTGTGTTTTGAAAAATAATCTCAAGATTTTGGTGTTTATTTTTCATGAATTTGACTTACAGCAAATAGAATGCCTTTTTAAATCTCACATTTGAAGTTTTTTCAGCAATACATCTAGTGCAAATATATTTGAAACTCATTATGTAAATTTATAAAATAGGTAATTGTAGGCTCTGAATGCACAAGGATTTAGTATATAAGACTTAATGCACCATGATATTTCAATTTCAATGCTTATTATTACATCAAATTGAATAACCATATTTAAACCAGGCATAACATGTTTTGACTTGCATTATGAAGAGTATATTATTATTCATTATAAAAGGGTGAATTGAGTGAATATGCCGGTGATGCATTATTGTAGCTCTGGGTGGTGCCAGGACCTGATAAATTTAGATGACTTGAATATTTTGTTGAGTCACATAGTTTGAGGCCATCCTTTAAAAATTGGATTTGTTGCACATCTCTATTTAGATTTATTACACATCTGATTCAGATTTACTACTTAACACATCAATATTTAGATTTATTACACATCTGATTCAGATTTACTACACATCTTTATTTAGATTTATTACACATCTGATTCAGATTTACTACACATCTCTATTTAGATTTATTACACATCTGATTCAGATTTACTACACATCTGATTCAGATTTACAAAACATCTTTATTTAGATTTATTACACATCTGATTCAGATTTACAAAACATCTTTATTTAGATTTATTACACACCTGATTCAGATTTACAAAACATCTTTATTTAGATTTATTACACATCTGAATCAGATTTATTACACATCTGATTCAGATTTACAAAACATCTTTATTTAGATTTATTACACATCTCTATTTCGATTTATTACACATCTGATTCAGATTTACAACACATCTTTATTTAGATTTATTACACATCTCTATTTAGATTTATTTCACATCTGATTCAGATTTACAACACATCTTTATTTAGATTTATTACACATCTGATTCAGATTTACTACACATCTCTATTTAGATTTGTTAGATTTGTTACACATCTCTATTTAGATTTGTTACACATCTCTACTTAGATGTGTTACACATCTCTATTTAGATTTGATACATAATATGCATATAGGGCAATTTGCATTTAAATTCAATAAGGGATTTGTGTTAATGAGTCTAACATTATACATTTATAATGATTACCCACAGTATACAAGGCCAATATACTTCCTGTTATATTTTACAGTCAATGTCCTGTTCAGGTAAAAGGGACGGACTAGCCATTTTGGAGGATTGGTTTGAGTCTTGAATATATGTAAATAGTCTTCAGAAGTACCCGAAATGTACGAAAATCACATTATTTCTTCGAATATACCGCAATCTAGGAATTTCACAAAAAAAAAAGTGTCTATTATAGTTGCTTGGACAATAAACTGAGGCCCTGCGTGCTACAGACTGTATATGTTAAAGATCCCACGACAGTTGGAAATCTAAAAAGAGTAGGCTAATGCTGCTGTCCTGGCAAAATTTCCTTTCGCTACATGCAGTGACTACCATAATGTTGTTACTTTTGTCAGTGACTATCATAATGTTGTTACTTTTGTCAGTGACTATCATAATGTTGTTATTTTGTTACTTTTGTCAGTGACTATCATAATGTTGTTATTTTGTTACTTTTGTCAGTGACTACCATAATATTGTTACTTTTGTGAATGACTATCTTTATGTTGTTACTTTTGTTGGTGACTATCATAATGTTGTTATTTTTGTGAATGACTATCTTTATGTTGTTACTTTTGTCAGTGACTATCATAATGTTGTTACTTTTGTCGGTGACTATCATAATGTTGTTACTTTTGTCAGTGACTATCATAATGTTGTTACTTTTGTCAGTGACTATCATAATGTTGTTATTTTGTTACTTTTGTCAGTGACTATCATAATGTTGTTATTTTGTTACTTTTGTCAGTGACTACCATAATATTGTTACTTTTGTGAATGACTATCTTTATGTTGTTACTTTTGTCAGTGACTATCATAATGTTGTTATTTTTGTGAATGACTATCTTTATGTTGTTACTTTTGTCAGTGACTATCATAATGTTGTTACTTTTGTCGGTGACTATCATAATGTTGTTACTTTTGTCGGTGACTATCATAATGTAGTTACTTTTGTCAGTGACTGACTATCATAATACTGTTACTTTTATCAGTGACTATCATATGTCTTTTTTCGTTATGTACACAGTATTATCAATTTTTCTCAAAAAAGTAAACTTAATTTTGGATTATCTATTCATGTCCATAAAGGGAAAAAAATCTCATTTTTCATTTTTGCTGATAAACTATTTAAAACACTACGAATTTTCCCCAAATTTTCACTTAATTATCATCATATAAAGATTTGAAAATATATCCTGTTAATTAGCATGCATTGCCTTGAGTAAAGTATTGCTTATCATTACATTACTCATCGATCAAGTCTATATTCTAACTCATCAATCAAGACTACATGTCTAACTCGTATTTAACATGATTAATTTCTACAAGTCAACTTGAAGGGTTTTTTTTACCACTAGTCTGTTACTTTGGAATTAATAATTTAGCTGGGCTGAAAATTGATTTTATTCCACGTAATTTGATTATGAGATTTTATTCCAAGCCTAGTGGAGATCTTCAGGAGCAAATTTTATCCGTTATAATCCAAATCATTGATCTATTGGACATACTTTGCTTAACCTGAACAAGCAGGGATATATTTCAACTTTTGTCAGCATCTGCTAGAATTTGAACTATTGTGTATTTGAATTAACCTAAGCTCAATAACATTGATATAAAATAATTTTCTGGTAATAACTTTTCAAATAATTATAATGGCAACCTTTTGGCAACAGATTGGCCTACTTAAAGCTATACTACCTCTTAAAATGGACATAAAATTTAAAATCTCAAACTTGGTCAGCAAGTATATATATTCATTAGTTGGACTTACCAGGTGCCATGACGAAAGAATAGAATCTTTAAATAAGACAATATATCCATTTAACTAAACAACTGATGAACACAGACTCATTTTAACCAAGTTTGAAAATTTAAATTTTTTTTGTCTTGCTAAGAGGTAGTATACCTTTAAATCATTAGAATTGCACTTTGCAATTTCAACCTGACTTTCCTTGGTGTGTTTCTTATTGTCATGGCATTGGTAAAACGCTTAAAAAACCTTGATCAATTAAGTGCATTGATTTTTTATGAACATTTTCTAAACGCTACTGTATTTAAAAAATATGTATTAATTAGGTTCACTGTACTGAAATACCTAAACCGATTGAACACTGAGTATGAATTCAAATAAAACCTCATATACCCTGAACTCCAAGTAATGTGATTTCAAAAATGAAATGAAAGGAATGGAGTGTTACGTCCTATGGGTAATGCAATGCAGTGTACAAAGAGGGAACTTTTGCCAGGACAGCACAGCAGCATTAGTCTGCTCTTTTTCAATTTCCAACTGTCAAGTAATATAATTTAAAGTGTATGACATTCATATTGTGTGACGTCCACTTAATAACAGCCACTTTCAGACCAGTCGAATATTTATTAGGTAATCATGTGGACAGTATAGTGCTCACTGGTGATCACATGGCCACTTGTGTAATAAAAGGATAAATTGAAAGTAAACAAAATTTACTTTTATGACAAAGTGTTTGGTAATGACAGTTTTTGATGGTGACTTTGAATGTATTTTTATCATACAGACAAAAAGAATGGAGTTTATGTTTAATGTATTTTATATTATCTCTGTCTACCACTCATCTCTCCATCTATAATTTATACTTATATAAAAAGAAAAACTCAGAGTGGCTGTTGGGTCAAAGCAGAAGCTGATATAGGAGACTAAGTAGCTGTAGTAGACCAATCAGGGCCAATTTTACTCATAAGCTATCAGTTGGCTGTATTTCTTTAACTTTGGGGTTCATCTTAAATAAAATTTTGTGAAACATACTCCCTGTGTGCTACAGACTGTGCATGTTAGACAGTTGGAAATCGAAAAAGAGTAGGCTAATGCTGCTGTCCTGGCAAAATTTCCCTCATTGCACACTGTATGGCATTGCCCTTCTACATTAGTCCAAGTATGTGCAGATGTAAAACTCTATTAATTATTTTTGAAACTTGACTTGTTGTTATTTGTTAACTGAAAGTTCTGTGAGTGCAAACTACTTCACCAGTCAATGAACTTCTAAAACTTCCTTAATATGTTGTTGATCATATCTCACTCTATGTTTGATGTATTATACCAACTTAGTCTGGTTTGTAGTACGCCAGGGAAACGTGAATAGATACACTAGATATGTTTAAAACTGTGAACTCTCTATGGATTCCAAGGATTTTCTTTTGATACATACAAAAAGAGATGATCTTTAGATAGTAAAAAATGAAAAACCTTTAATAAAGAGAGAGTGTGTGTGACTTTTTACATGAATGATATTAAAATTATTTTCCTTTTGTACGCAGAATTTTCTGTTTTTGTCAACATGATTGTAAAATCAATTATCAACTTAGTTGATTTTCTGAAAGCTAAGCAACATTGTGAACATGACAAGAAGTGGGGGGTCAAGATCAAGCAACGCCCTTATTACTTATTTTATCAAAATGTTTGCAAGTTCAAATAAAATAAAGCTTTCAGACTTGGGATGCCAAAGGAGCTGTTTGCTCTGTTAACCTAACTGCTGTGTTAATTTATTTGAAAGGAAAACAGTGCATGAACAGCGAAGGAAGTGCATTAAAAAAGAATTGCTATCTCTATTGACATCTACTCTAGTGACAGGTTTACTGGTTAAATGATTATACAACATTAACCGTAACCGTGACCGTATCCAACTGATGTCACATGACATTAGCATCAAATGCTCTACTCTAAGTTATATAACTTAGAAAATAAAATGAAATGAATGGAGTTTTACGTCCTACTTTTCTGCACCATGTGGGATAATGAAGACAGGCTACGCCATGCAGGGTGCAATGAGGGAATATTTGCCAGGACAGCGGCATTAGCCTGCTTTTTTTTTATTTCCAACTGTTGAGGGATCTTTAACGTGCACAGCCTGTAGCACACAGGGCCTTATATTACTTAGAGTCCAGGGTAAATGATGTTTTATTTCATTTACACTCAGTATTCAAAGAGTTAATGAAAAATCCAATGTTCGTTTTTTTATATCAAGCTTAACAAATAAATTTGATTAGAAAAAGGGAAGATAACATTATCAATCTCAGATATTTAAAAATCAGAACCACCCACTTCTAATCAAGTTGAACTGCAAGCAAACTTGTTTTCTGGTAACAGTTTGGAAGTAATTCAATTAATATCAACATTCACATTTACATTAAACATCTCGATTCAATTCACGTCTTCTCAGATAACTTCATTACATCAGTTAAATCAAGTACAGAAACATAAACATTAGTTATGAGAAACTTCCTCCTTGTTATCAAATTTTCCTAATGAAATGGTCAAAGAATATCTATTAATGGGTTTGTTTATGCGATTCATCTCTTGGCTAAGATGCTTGAAGATATGAAAGATTGAATCAAGTTGAACATACTTGTTTCTGAATTGTTATCTGATTTTGGAAGCTGTTTATCCACACACAAAATAACGAAAGCTATCCTGGATCTTTAATGAACTGAAAATGGCAGCGCTAGGTGTCTGTATTAGGATATTTTTTTGCTATCAAAGTGATTTTGGCATCTGCTAGACAACTAGGTTCTGTTAGCCTGCAGTTGAAACACATTAAATTTTTCATTCTACAGCCCTTTTTTTGTGGGAGTCAAGTAGATTCTTCCACAAAAAGATAAAAAAATTTGCAGATGTCACTTTTGAATTTGAGAAGAAATTAAGCTCCACCTTTATGTAATTTTGTTTACTCTTTCAGCATTCCATTTATTCAAGACATTATCAGCCAATGTTCCAGAAAGTTGTCTTCTAATAGCATTGGGAGTGTGTACTGGTGCCGTCCTGCATTATAGTAAAGCTGCTTCAACAGACCAATATGTCCTGGATGCAAATACCTTCTTCCTCTTTCTCCTGCCGCCTATTATCTTTGATGCAGGCTACCACATGCCCAATAGAGCCTTCTTCAATAACTTAGGAACCATTCTGCTATTGGCCGTAGTGAACACATTATTTAATACCATAGCTATTGGCTTAGGGCTATGGGCAATGACACTGGTTGGAGCCATCAACAGAAGCATCAGCTTACTCCATTGCCTACTCTTTAGTGCTCTAATATCTGCTGTTGATCCAGTAGCTGTGTTGGCTATATTTGAAGAAATCCACGTCAATGAGATGTTATATATTATTGTGTTTGGAGAATCTTTGTTAAATGATGGTGTCACAGTGGTAAGTATTTCATTTCACTTTTTAAATGGTATATTCATTTCATTTTATGAATGGTAGATTCATTTCACTTGTTGAATGGTACATTCATTTCATTTTTTGAAAGGTACATTCATTTCACTTTTTGAAAGGTACATTCATTTTACATTTTGAAAGATAGATTCATTTCACTTTTTAAATGGTAGATTCATTTCACTTTTTGAATGGTAGATGTATTTCACTTTTTGAATGACAGATGAATTTCACTTTTTGAATAGTAGATGTATTTCACTTTTTGAATGGAAAATGTATTTCATTTTTTGAATGGTAGATGTATAGATGTATTTCATTTTTTGATTGGTAGATGTATTTCATTTTTTGAATGATAGATGTATTTCGCTTTGAGATTTGTTTTTTCTCTTTGTTAAGAAAATTCTAATTTCTTACTTAATTTTGAAGTTAGCTTTTTATTGCTTTGAAATCAGAATTTACTGATCCTCTTAGCACAACTAAAACATAGCCTTGAAATAAAAGTCTTTTATTTTCCTGATGAAATAATTATAAACTTATGACATAAATTTTTCTTGGCAAAATTTGCTTGATGTAAATTGTATGGTGTTGACAGTAATCATCGACACAACAGGTTAACAAACAGTAGGATGTAAAACTCCATTTCATTTCTTTGAAGAAAATAACTCAATAAATATAAGTTTGTCTTGGCCACTGGTTTATAATAAGCAACTATTTGAGAAGGAACTATGTTATTGAAGAAAGATTTTCAATATTGGAGGTAAAAATATCCAGTGTAGTGATACATTGCCTTTCCAGACAATTGATCAGACAATCCTTTCAATCGTAACTTTATTTCATTTCCTTTTACGTTGATTTGAAAAAATACTTATTAGGTCTTGTCTAAAAGAAATCAATAGAAATCCAATTAAATAATTATCAAACGCCATTTTATGATATCTGTAGAATTCGCTTATTAAGTCATTTGTCTTTCACTTTTCAAATGAGGAATCTAACATCAACCATTACTCGGTACCAGACAGTCATGATAATAGTTCAGATGCCTTGTTTTGATTGTATTTCCAGGATCACTGGAATAATCACTTGGGATTGAAATAAAGTTTGGTTCCTACTTTTCTGTTCTTGGTTGCATAGGCTAATGAAAATTTATTGAGGAACATTATGCAAGGATAACGACATTAGCCTTCTTATTCTTTTCTGGTCAAGGATCTTAAAGGGACAGATGCACCAATTTTGGAGGGTTGATTTGAGTCTTGAATATATGTAAATAGTCTCTAGAAGTACTAGAAATATATGAAAACCGCATAATTCCTTCAAAAATATCTCAAACTAAGAATTTCTTTTCCTAATTCTATATGTCTTTTCTATATTTGACAGTGTCTGAAGAAATGACAAGTTGTATTTTTATCTTTCAAATGCGGATAATTCTGGACACACATTGATTTAAAGGCTCAAATTTCAACAGTGAGCTGTGAACACTATTATGGTTTCACTTAGTTTGAAAAAATTCCTGTTTCTGGGACTCTTCATTTTGTCCTTAATAAATGATAAGAGGCTTTTTCCATGTTAACAGTTAACATGCATCAGATATGAAACTGAGTGGCAAATCCTCGCGAACATACTAATTTGGCACAAACCTGTTAGTTAGCAAGCTATAACTCACTGATCCATCTTGGCTCTGATTTATCAGTGTTAAACAACAGATATATGCATTAAAAAAGAAGTCAACATTCTGTTTACTGTTTTTTGCTTGCCATATTAAAACAATCTTGATGGTTATTGTAAATATTTCTGCAATTTGATTTTTGAAATGGTAAAAAAATGTCACAAAACCACAGTTTTCAATGTAATTCATCACTGCAGATCATAAAAAAATGACAGTTATCTCCCTTTGGATATAAGTTGATAGATGACATTGGAATTTAAATCATTAAATTATGCCTGTTTTGGCAAGTTCTTTAGTATATTTCAAATTTTACCTATTGAAATTGGAATATAAGCTTTAATATATAATCTTTGTAAGACATATAGAAACAGGAAGGTAAACATTAAGAACACAAGTTATATGGATAATCTACTAGTAATAATCTAATAATAAAACTAGAAGTGGATTATCAATATAACTTGTGTTTTTATAAGCTTAAAAATAATCTGGTATTAATAGTCTTGAAATGGCTTTGTTGATAAAAATATAAATTTTGTTGTTATTGAATAGTAACACACACCCCAATTTGTTCTAATTTATATGGAAATAATCGAGGAAATTTGATATACCAACGAACTTTATAAGACCCTTGTATAGATGATTTCAGATAATAATTTGACCAATCAGAGCCCTTAAATTATCATAGTTTAGATTGATATTTGTACCTTAAAGGAATGGTAAAGAAGTTTTCTAAATTTTGTATGTGTATTGGGGATACTGATAACATCAATTTGTTGTCTGCAACTGAGTGTTTGATGATGACATGATAACATCATTAATCGCAAAATATGCTTTAATCACATTGAGACATCATCAAACACTTAGTTTGTGTGGAATTGCAGGAACCACAGACGTCTGATTGAAAATTGGAATGGTGCAAATTGATGCTAAATTTAAAAATCCTTTTTACAATCTCTTTAAAGAAAAAATCATAAGATTTGAATATGGCCTCTATATGCATTGTTAAAAATCTTTTTCTCATTTCTACATTCTCTGAACTGAAGTGAGGAATCAATTGATTCACAGATTAGAGGATTACTGCCGAACAATAAAACTCAATATAACATAGCTCTGAGTATAAACTTAGATTAATTTTGATATTGTATTAGATCATGTCTTATCATTGAATCTTTATAGCGTGTTGAAAATCCAATAAAAGGAGAAAGGAAAAATATAATGTTACTGATTTGTGTCCTTAATTTCAATTGGAAATCAACTTCATTTCAAATTTCTTAGTTCATACTTGATCTATTATTAATTTGTTCAGAAACTAAAATAGAATCATCATTAAAAATAAAATGAAATTTGAACTTAATTGAAACAATAATTATCAAGAGCTCGTTAGCCTGAGGGAAATTATGTTTGAGAACCTGTGTAGAGAAACTTTATCCTCTGGCAACCTATTATACTCTATGTAGCATACCTTGACATCATTTGACACTTTCCTTGTTTAAAGTTGTAAGACATTTGTCAGATCTCTCAAATACCTTAAATGTTTACAGATTTTCTGTCCAGAGCTCTGATTGGCTGTATTCGCTAGCATACGATCCATTGAAATCACTATATTTGGATTATTCCATGATACAAGAGAATTTAAGTGTCTATAATGATGTAATGAAAGGTCTTCAGTAAAGTTTGTAACAGCTTGACATTGTGAAGATGAGTTACTGGAAGCTATGATTTCTCTAATAGAATTAATGAATTTCCATTTCAAAATTCCAAACAGGACTTTATACGACTTTTTGTCAATAAAAAACTCCTCTCATTAATTTTTTTACGGCAAAACTATTTGCAAGGTTTACATAAACTTTTAAAGTTTGTTATGCTTTTTATACTGTATGGATTTAAACAATGCCTAATTATAGAGAAATATGTCTCCTACGTATTCTAAAGGTTTCAACTAATATTATGAAATCTTTATGAGGCCCAACACCAGAACTAGTTGAAGGTGCTTTTAAAATAAATGCAGTTTGATAATGAATAGATTACTGTACTTAAGAATTATTTTCAGGTATAATTTACAATGTTTTTTATTATGAAAATTTTAATATCTTGATAAATGTAAATATTTTGGACAATGGCGATAACTTTCCTTTGGAAGATAATATTTTTTTAAATTTGGTTCAGTCATAGCTGTTAAAGCCTTCAATACAATGATAACATTGGTGTAGATAAGAAGCATTAGAAAATGTATATATTAGTAGTTATTAAAGGTATGCTACCTCTTAGTATGACCAGAATATGAAACTTAAAATAAATCTTGTTTATCAGTAGACTAACCTGAAGTCATAACTATACAACAGAATCTCTCTATAATCCAATATATCTATACAACTAAGTAATAATTCATTAAATTAAGTAATTTTCAAACATGCATAGAAGCATAATGGATATATCGTCTTATATAGAGATTCTATTATTTAGTCTTGACACCTGTTAAGTCCAATTGATGAATATATACACTTGTTGACCAAGTGTGAAACTTTAAATTTTATGACCATTCTAAGAGGTAATGTTCCTTTAATAAAAGTAATATCTGTAGGGTACAGAGACTTTAATGTGGGTGGTTCACTTCTGCTTTTCTAATTGTCGTTTTTTACTACTCTATGTATCATTGTTTACCAGTCTTTTGTTAAATTAATGCCAACATCATTTCAATGAAATAATCAGTTAGGTCTAAAATAGATAAAAGATGCTAAATTTGTATATAATGATGCTAAATACACAAATAAACCACAATTAATCATAGAAATTGACATATACATATTAAAACTGTTAGAGAATCATTCATATACTCCTGTTTATTTTCATAAATATGACGTCAAAATTGGAGATCTTTAAACAAACTTATTGCTTCTTAATGAAGTAATCCTTCTTGAAATATTTGTATGTGTTAATTATTTAGAAATACCAACAGTTTAAGACAAAAGGAAGTTCTGTTTGGTACCAAATTTGGAAGCATTAATATCTTTTTGTTGACTTTGATAGAACCTCTTTGGTTGAGCTAGAGTTAATAGTGAAATAACATTTTATCATCAGAGTGCATGTCAGCTCAAGGTCATTGTCGATTTTGATCAAGTTTAGGCTATATGGCAGCACTTCTAACCATCCACAATGTTAGGATTAGCCATGTTTCCTTGTATTCCATCTCTCTAAATAGCAAGGTCAGATTCGAGCTTCTAAATGGGTCAAAATTTGTGTCACAGAGTCTTAACTGTAGAAAATGTTAACTCCTATCAAAGTCAACCTTTGCAATTGTAGCTTCAATGTCGCTTTTAGTTGAAAAACATGTTCTTAGATATTTTTATATTTTTATATTTTTATATTTGCTGAGTGACCAGAGTTCAGTAAAGACATATATACTATTTTTTACAATTTGATGATACTCTATGTCAAAAGCAATGATAAAATCATACAACTAAAATAATTCTGTTGCTATTTCAGGTGCTGTATCATATGTTGGAATCTTATTCTGAAATTGGTGAAATGAACATTCTACCCATCGACATTGCAACTGGTTTCTTCTCTTTCTTTATTATTGCTCTTGGTGGTACCCTGATTGGTATAATATATGGTTTAATTGGTGGATTTATTACTAAATATACTGAGTCTATAAAAGTTATTGAACCATTATTTGTATTTGTGTTGGGATATTTAGCCTATCTTACTGCTGAAATGGTGCACATGTCCAGTATATTAGCGTAAGTACATTTGTAATAATGATATTAATGATAATAATATTTATAATAATTATACTAATACTAAAAATAATAATAATAATGATAATAATACACTCATTATTTTACATAGATCAGAATTTTTGTCACCAAGACTGTTCGTGTGCCCGCACTGTTACACAAATTTCTTTTGTCTGATTTTTTACACATCATCATTGTCTTGAATTTTTGTTCTGATTTCAGGTTGACATTTGGTGGTATTACAATGAGACATTACGTGGAATTAAATATGTCTAAAACCTCTGTGACTACTTGCCGATATTTTATGAAATTATTAGCCAATATTAGTGAAACTGTTATATTTATGTTCCTGGGGTTATCTACTATTATTGAAACACATGATTGGCAGCTAGATTTTGTATTTTTCACTCTACTCTTCTGTATAGTCTTCAGAGTTATAGGTAAGCATCATTCTCAATTTGTTTTGTTACATTTCATGTACTTTTGCTGCTGTGTCTCTTTTGCAACATTGTTGACGATAATGACCTATATTCAACAGAGTCAGCTTAAAGCTTTGCAAGATGGCTGAGGTTCCCAGTCTGAAAGTCATCCTGCTCAGGTGGACAAGCAGAATTAGTTGCTACTGGTAGAACATAAGCCATCAGTGGCAACTGTGGCAGCAGCTGATAAGATGCAGCTGTTTGTCAACAGTCTTTGAAAATCCTGTTGCTCGTAGATTCTGACAGACTCATGGTCGTTTTGAGCCTTGGCTTCACTTATTTGACAATATCTGGCTTATCATAAAAGATCTATAAATAAAATGGACTGGTTGTGTTAGTTTTTTATTTCATTTCCTGATGGACATTAATATTTTTGATCGACTTTGCTGATTGCTGCTCTAACAGAGATGGGTACATGTGTAATACATTTTTACCATGCAAAATAGTTCAAATCTGTTTGATATCTGTTCATATTTCAGATCAGATTTGTAGTCTTGAATGTCAAGTGACTCATTTTCAGAATACAACTGTCTGTGCAGTTTTTAATATTTTATTTAAGATTTTACTTTAACTTGATGAATTTTCATCAGTGAGTCTCAAAGGAATTTCCTTCACAAGTTTTAACAAAGTAAAGTGTGTCTTTGACATTTAAGGTTGTCACTTTAAACAGACAATGTAATAACACCTATTGAAAAATATTGACTTCAGACTTCAAATACTTCGTATCTTATTTCAATGTTGATAAGGCGTCAAAGAAATTTATTATTCTGTTACTGGCAAATTTTCCCTGCTGTAATCTTTTTAAAGGGGCATTCCACTTTGTTTTGTTGGTCAAAATAATTTTTGTGCTCAAATTTGCGAAAACTATACACCAAAATCTAGAGAAATGTGCCCTTTAACGTATCTGAAAAGCCAAATTGTAGAGAAATATGTATGCTATATGTATATATTCTTAAGATTTCAAATAATAATTCCAAGCCATTATAAAGCCAAACCCCAAAACTATGTTGAACTGCTTAATTATCATTTAATACTCTTCTGTTTTTAAAACAGTTTGATCAAGTAGATACGTAGATATAAATAGCATACTTTAGAAACATTTTAACGTTTTTGATCGTGAAAATTTTTTGAAAAAAAATCAGAATACCCCTTTAAAAGCCCATTGTGAAAGAAAGCCTTTGGGTATTCTGCACCTTTTCAATTGTTTTCCTTTAGCTCTTACTTTAAGACTTCTTGAAGAAAAAGTATTTGGAGATTGTGAAACCCTAGCTATCTAAACTTAGTAAAACTCATTCTCAGTTTGTATCCGAGTATAACCACAACCACATTATAGAAATAAACACTCTGAAATAAATCTTCTCAGATATCTTGTGACAAAATTCTATAAATCTTAAAGTCTGGATTCTACAGTGACTGATTAATTAGAAAGTTAATTAATTTATGTGAAAACCATTCCATATTGAGTTTGCAATTCCTTTTATTTAAAATAAACAATAGATTGGATATACCAAAATCTCTCTAGAAATAAACCAACAGGAAATGAAATGAAATGAAATGAAACGAAACGAAACGAAACGAAACGAAACGAAACGAAACGAAACTAAAAACTAAAAACCAACTGGAAATACTGATTTATTCTGAATAATAATGATGATAAAAACCATAACAGAAAATGATAATGAAAGTTAAAAATTTCTACCGTGTTTCCCTTAAGCAGGTAAACTAACTTACAAAACTAAGTAATAAGTCATTAAATTAAGTGATTCATTAAACACGCTTGAAGCTTATTTCAATAATTTCTTATTTTAATGGATATATCGTCATTTATAAGGATTCTATTCTTTAGTTACTGCACCTGAAAGTCAAACCGATGAATGACCATTCTAAAAGTTAGTATTCCTTTAAAATCAAAAAAGAATTAAGTTGAAATAAATAAAGAAAAGTTTTTAAACTTGTCATGTTATTTACTATACTTGTTGTTCAGATACATGCAATAAAATGATCTATATATTTAAATACTATTGCTCAAAAAAGATGTTTGTTGAAAAATACATGGTTTTGTAATATGTAATCTGTATATGATTTCTGTTTCTGCTTAAATTAGAATGGAGTAAACAAATATGCAAAACAAAATGCCCACACAAAGTAGGCTAACTTTAGGTAAATATTAGATTCCATCATATAGTATTTTCTATTTTACTTACAGAAGGAACCTTGGTTGCTTTTGTTCTGTAGATTTAACTCCATAATATTCAATTATGATATTGGTCTTTAGAATCCATTTTTATGGACCTGATATTTGATTCTTTGTAATGGCTGAAAAAAATGGATCTTCTAATCTTCAAAGCCATTAAACTGGTTATTTCTTGTTACTAGTGACTGATTACTTCTTGTTAATGACTGATTACTTCTCTTCTTGTTACTAGTGACTGATTACTTCTCTTCTTGTTACTAGTGACTGATTATTTCTTGTTACTAGTGACTGATTATTTCTTGTTACTAGTGACTGATTACTTCTTGTTACTAGTGACTGATTATTTCTTGTAACTAGTGACTGTTTACTTCTTGTTACTAGTGACTGATTATTTCTTGTAACTAGTGACTGATTATTTCTTGTAACTAACTAGTGACTGATTACTTCTTGTTTCTAGTGACTAATTACTTCTTGTTACTAGTGACTGATTATTTCTTGTAACTAATGTCTGATTTTTTCTTGTAACTAACTAGTGACTGATTACTTCTTGGAACTAGTGACTGATTACTTATTGTCTTTGTGGACTCTCCAATTGAGATGCCAATACCATTAATAGAGAAACATCTGATGGTCTAAAAGCATGAGCATGCCCTGCCTCAGTTATATCAATCAGTAGAGCTCAATCATTAAGTCTGTCTTGCAAAACCATTCATATTTATTGATTATTTTGTTGTGTTCTAAACATTCCACAGTTTAAAGCAGCACCTTCACCATCCGTTCGACCAATCATAATTTCAGAAACAGGAATATTTTTAGCTTACATAATCAGTAATAGTGTTCACAGCGTCGAAATTTCGGCCTTCAAATCCATGTGTATTCATAATTATTCACGTTTGAAAGTTGAATATTTGACTCGGATTTTAGTGAGACTATGCCATATATAGAAAACACATATATAGGAATAGACAGTGAAATTTCTAGTTTGAGGTTGAAGGGATTATACAATTTTTAAGTCTTTTAGTACTTCTTAAGACTATAAAAAGCACATTCCAGACCCAAATCAATCCCCGAATATATTGACTGTTCCCTTTTAAAAACATCTGTAAGAATTGTGATTTTGGAGATTGGGCTAGCCATATTAATGCAGGAAGCGATTACAAATATAACTTTAGATTCCATTCCCCTGAATTCATTGAAGCGTTGGTACGAAAAAAACCAAAAACCAAAAACCAGTCTATTACATCATGTGTCTATCAATATACAACTGCAGCTACAAAAGATTTGGATTTTTGTACCATATATTTCCCAGACCTTTAAATCAGAAAATATCAATTTGTTTTTTTCAGGTATTGTCTCTATAGCATTTATAGTTAACAGAACTCGATTGATTCAATTATCTAAATTTGACCAATTTATTATGTCCTATGGTGGATTACGTGGTGGAATTGCTTTCTGCTTGGCTTTGTTGTTAAATGAAGAGTTTATACCTGAGAAACGAATGTTTGTATCTACGACCATTGTGGTTGTTTTCTTCACAGTGTTTTTACAGGTAACTATTATTATTTATGTTTGAAAGAAATTTAGTTATACACCCTGCTGATATTTTCTAGTTTCAGATAATGAAAATTTGACAAAAGGTGCAGGCACACAGACGGTCTTGGTCAGCGATTTTTGTTGCCGATCAGTTGTTTTCCACCATGTCGATAATCACGTGTGGAGCATGCAATTGAAATTGAAATGAATCTGATTGGATGATGACGCTCTGTCTTGCAGACGATAAAATTGTTGGAGACGATTATCAAACTTGTTTGATATTATAAATCCTTCTGGCACAGACGTGGAGGCACGAGCAAATGCCAGATTTAACCCAAGATTTGAGTCGGTGACAAAACAACACAGACCAAGACCATTCCTGATGACACTTTGTGATTTTCATCTGTAGTACACAGGGTTTGGTTTATTGTTCCATTCTGACGATTGGATACTTTTCAATGAAAGCCCTTCTGACCTGCATCACTGAAAGTGAGAGACAGAGTTAAATATCTTAAGGTATCCATTCAATCTATACCTGAATTGATCCCCTGGCCTTTGGTTAATCAAGTTGAAGACCTGCACTGTTTCACTTGGCAAAATGTTATGTAGGTTTTTTCTACTGAAAATGTTTTGTTAAGACAATAGATATAAGAATGCAACTCTTTAAAAACTATATTCTTTGGAATGCAAAACCATTGTCCTAAATTAAACTGAATAGATTTCTTTAAGCATCAATGATATTTTCCCTCAAAAATTTGATGTTCCTTTCAAAACATTTTTTCTGATACAGATAAAAATAAGAGTCTGTCAGATTGGTACTTGGTCAAATGTCATAATTTGCTGTAGAAAAAACAAAACACTATATTTTGATAGAAGCAGTATACGTATTATCGGTCAAATTAGCACTTTCCAAGGCTGTTTCACAAATATTAGATAACCTTCATTGTCATTTCTTACTAGGAAGACATCAGGTTATGACACATGCCCTCCAGTATTGTGTTCTTGAAGAACTCTAACTGATAGATTCAATTAACTTTAACATTATTCCTGAAGGCTGAATTTGTCTTGGAATTTCTCAGAAACAAGAAAGTACCATTGAATAAGATGTAGGTCTATAACGATTTAACACTGATAGAAAATGAATTTGAAATTTAGGATACGTGACAAATTAAGGAATACTTTGAGACACAGTTTTTAAAGGGACAGGTTTGCCATACGTTTGACCAATTGTACTTTAATCTTTTAGCTAAGCTAATCAGTAATAATTGTGTTCGAAATTTGAGCCTTCAAATCCATGTGTGTCTAGAATTATTCATGTTACAATGATAACTCGACTTTTTAGTGACACTGCCATATATAGAAATATTATTAAAATAGAGAGAGAAATGACTAGTTTGAGATATTTTTGAGGGAATTATGCAGTTTTTGTACATTTTTATGGACTATGGACATATTTTCAAGACTCAAATCACCCCACCCCCCTCGAAAAAAAAAATTACGCACATGTCCCTTTAATTTGACATTATGCGTTATTGCTTATCTACTCCCTTGAATACAATCAAATAAATAACATGTTTTCATGTTCAGACCTACTTTGATTTTTTTTTTTACTAAAAATGGAATCTGTTTACATCTTTGAAACAGCTTATTATGTTTACCGATAAGCTTTCCAGACATATTATGAAACTAATGTTCATGATTTGTTATTGTAATGAAATGTCAAGTATAAAATAACTAGTTTAAATAAGTATCATTAGTAAAGATATTACAATTAAATTTTTTTTTTATGATATCACAATCTTTATTGTGCAATACAGATATTTTGATTAATAATTGGACAGAAAATTAATGCTGGTTTTCTTGCTAGACTAGAATTCATTTTATTATTTAAATGGGGTTTGCGTGGGAGCTTTAAAAAAAAAGCAGGAATTGTGATTAAGTCCTGTCTCCCACTGTTCAACAAATTATAGTTTTTTGTCAATATTGTGACATGAATTTTGGTATTTCCAGAGAGAATCACCCTGTTTCATTCCCTCATTGTACCCTGCATGGCTTTGCCTGTCATCATTAGCTCATAAACTTATTTCTCTTTCAGGGTATAACTATAAAGCCAGTTGTAAATGCTTTAAAGGTAGAAAAAGCTTCTATAGATGATAATCCTACTATGAACGAAAGATTTCACAGAAGGGTAAGTTTCAAATCTGTTTTAATTTCAAGCTGTAAAACTTTTGACTTTTTTTGCCTTAATTGTCATTGTCTTTGAGAAACCTTGAAGTGTTATGGGAAGGAGCACTTCAACTTTAATTTCACAATTTAATGATTTCTTTTACATAAGTCTGCTTTTTCATTTATCAAGTGAGCGCAGACTGATAACTGGCTGATAAAATGACTTAGAATTTGATAGCATGGTAAATGCTGTAGTTAATATCAAGTTTGATAGCATGATAAAGGCTATAGCAACTATCAATTTTGATAGCATGGTAAAGGCTATAGCTACTATCAATTTTGATATCATGCTAAAGGCTATAGCTACTATCAATTTTGATAGCATGGTAAAGGCTATAGCTACTATCAATTTTGATAGCATGCTAAAAGCTATAGCTACTATCAATTTTGATAGCATGCTAAAGGCTATAGCTACTATCAATTTTGATAGCATGGTAAAGGCTATAGCTACTATCAATTTTGATAGCATGCTAAAAGCTATAGCTACTATCAATTTTGATAGCATGCTAAAGGCTATAGCTACTATCAATTTTGAAGGTATTTGTTGCTGGGGAGATCATAGATAAATCTTAATGCAGTCACACCAAAGTTATCTTTAGAATAACTGTTCTCTCAAAATGCTAAAAATAAAACAGTTTTGATACAAAAACCAGAGAAATTCACAAAACTGCTATTTGAAAGTCACTCATATAGTGGCATGAAGTAAAATTGAGTAATTCAGAGAATATTGGGTAAAAACTAAATAAAATGAACTGTTACTTAACTGTACTGTACACTGTTGTTTATATATGATATTGACTTGACTCTGTTACATACTAAAGCTTAAGGGATATATTCACTATCTGCTACACAAATCCTATCTTAATCTCAGAAATGGGAATTTTTTTTAGCTAAGATTATCAGTAATAGTGTTAAGCGATCACTGTCAAAGTTTGAGCCTTTAATTCGATGTGTGTCCAGAATTATGAGTTTAAGTAACAAATCTTCTTTTCTTGAAACTATGTCATATAAAGAAAAGACATATAGAAATAGAAAGTGAACTTTTTATTGTGAGATATATTTGAATGAATTACATGCAGTTCTAGTACTTTTTACATATATTCAAGACCCAAATCAACTCCTCTTTAAAAGGGAGGTAATTATCAAAATTGTATGTTGAAAATGATTTCAGCTATAAATATCACTTTCGAGAAGTAAATCTGATATCAGGTACACTTACAATTAAATAGTTTTAAACAGTGATTGTCTAAAATGTAGTCATTTCCAGTGCATTATTAACATTTTCATATGCAGTTATTGCCAATGAAGATCATGTTATCAAAACTGTAAATGAGAATGTTAACGCCCTCAAAGAATTTAAACTGCCACTGCAATAAACTCAGCTAATGACTGGGGTTTTTTTTAGGCTAATTTTTCAAACTTGCTTCTGAAAATAGATATTTAAGGAGATTTTTAAGCATGAAAAATTAATTGACTGTATCACTTTAACAATAACAATAATCTATTTATTTATTTATTTATTTAAATCAATTCTGGTAGAACTCATCTTTGTTAAAAATAGATCAGTCTATTAATAGTATACTATATGAAATGTGAGAGATTAACAGTAGAAAGTGTTTCAAACTAAGGTACTGAATAAATGTTATGCTTAATGTAATAGAATTTCTTGTATGGCGTAGACACTTACATAAGTTTTATCAGCACCATCCTGGTCTCAAGACAGCTGTGGTTCCTGTAATTCCAGAAAAACTTGACAGGATTATGACTTCACTGGTATCAGTAATTGATATGTTATGATTTAGTCAATTCTGGAATTACACTTGCAGGAATCAATTATGACAGAAAACGGTGCCTATAAAAGCTGAGTGTACTATGATATACATGAAAATACATGAAAACCATTTTTGAATGGCTTTAAGATAAATATAAATAAATTTCTGTGTTATTTTAGTTTATTGATCATCTAATGGCTGGTATAGAAGATATTGTTGGCAGATCTGGACATAATTCTTTAAGAGACAAGTAAGTAGATTTCTTCTGTAGAAAAAAAGCAAGAAAATTCTTTCTCCATTGTGGAGTTTCAATATCAGTTTTTTTTTTATTATTCTTCTATTTGTAGAAAATCATGCATTCTAAGTGTAAGTTGTTTGGACATGCTGCCAGGGCTGTAAATACGATCTTTTTTTCTATGAGACCAAAATCCTTTTCGGCAAGCGTAGAGAGGAGAATAATTTTTTATTTATTTAGCCTGTTTTGTTTCAGTCTAATTAAAATTAGGAAAAACCAGAGTTTCGTTCCTTTATTTTTTTTAGCTTTTATTTCTGTTAGGGTCTAACGACGGCCTTCTTGAACATTCATCTAATTAACCTTTTGACCTAATCTGTTAAACATAGCGTCACAAAGCACCAGAGAATAGAAATCTGATTGGTTAAGGCAGATGTCATCAAGTTAGTGAAAAGATTAATTAAGAGGGTCGACGTTAGACCCTAACTGAACAGCTAATAATAAAAGTAGCAATAGTTTGGTCTAATTTTTATTAGACTGATTTTGTTTTTTTGTCAAATTCGCTGTGAAGCAGGCCTTATTTGCCTGAATGAGGTTATGGCCAAGTGGGAAAATTGGGTGCAGACTCTAGTAAGGTCTTATTATATACCTATGAGATTTTTTGACCAGATATTTTCATTTCCAACCTGAATTTTTTTTTTCTTCATCATTTCATGCTGTTTGAAGTAATATGTTGTCATGAAATTTTGAATTTTTTATATTTTTTTAAAGCTTATAATTGCCATGGTTTGACACCAGTCATGGCTGATTAGCTACTCTGAAGTGTTTGGCTGTGAATTTGGTTACTAGGACATAAAAAGAATTCTCATAAATTTATCTTTTGAAATTTGGTTGCTCACTTTTAATCTTGAAACACGAATGTTGCTACGTAAAAATCTCTAATTCCGATTCTTAAGACCCCTGGATTAGTCAATTGTGATTAATTAAAACTGTTGCTAGGCAACATTCTCAATTAACAGTTTTTCATTTGGATAAAATGATAAATGTTCAAGTTACATTTGAGTAGGCAAGGAATAAATATATGATTGGATATTGACAATAATACATGCTGTTACGATAACAGATAACATTTTATTGTGATGGAACTATCAGGAATTATGGAATTTTCTTCAAGAGTTATTTAAAAATTTCATTGGAGTCAAAAATGTAAAGAATTTTTACCATAGAGATTGGAATTTTTTTATGTTATTAACTAACTGGATATAATTCTAATATAATAATAAAATATTTTCACTGTTAAAAAAGATAGTGCTCAATACTTCAATTGTAGAGTGATATAGAAATATCATTGTTAAAATAGTGCTCAATTCTTCAATTGCAGTGTGATATAGAAATACCATTGTTAAAATAGTGCTCAATACTTCAATTGTAGAGTGATATAGAAATACCATTGTTAAAATAGTGCTCAATACTTCAATTGTAGAGTGATATAGAAATACCATTGTTAAAATAGTGCTCAATACATCAATTTTAGAGTGATATAGAAATATTTAAACAGAACCTGAAACATGTTGTTGTTACTCAGAGTTTCACACTATTTGATCTTCAGACAACTTGCCTATTTTAGCCTGCTTCCCTACTGAAGTTGGTATAAATACCTGATAGCATTTAACTATTGTTTAACTTTAAAACATAAACAAGAGTGGTCAATTTTTTTCTAATTTGAAATGAAATAAAATGGATAGTTTTCTTGGTGTTAATAAAATAAGAGAGCAATTTTCAGCCTAATGCTATGGTATATTCATGTGATTTTAGATTACAGAATTTTTTTGTAGTTATACTATATTTTTGATAGCTGATATTCCAATTCACAATTCAGGCCAGGAATGAATATTTCTGAAAAATTCCACACACATTGTTATTTATGACTATTTATGATTTTGATTTTTCAACAAAATGTCAACCTTTTTTTTTTATTTTATTTTTCAGATTTGAGCATTACAATACGAAATATATCAAACCATTTTTATTGAGAGAGAAGCCCATGACAAGAGAAACTAAGATATTTAAAGTTTTTACAGAAATTAACATGCAGGACGCTTTAGACCATATTGCTCAGCACGGCCATTTTAAAAAATCACCTTCAGTGTCTAGAGAGCCATCATTAGCTCAAGTTATACGATCTTATTCAACAACATCACTTTGTCCGTAAGTTATTTATTTACATATATTTTTGCCATAGTTGAAATTTGCAACAATTGACAAGAACTAATGATATTGGGTCTAGTTCATAATGAACATGATTTTTAGAAAAATTTCATAAGATCATGGATGGTTAGTGTACTAAAAACTCAATTTAAAAAAAAGGATACTGAACACTTAGATACATTATTCTGTTATAATGTAAATGTTATAAATCACATTCAAACAAAACAAAAGGATTAGAATTGACTTTGATTTTAATCTGCTCTAAGCCTAATGTCAGGAAGAAGACACAGTTCATGTTTCACTAATTTCTATGTCATGTAGCCATTAAAGGATTTAAAGGGAAACTGTTTGCAATCATATAACACAAAAATTACATTAATTTTTCAAATCAAATTATCAAATCTGGAAATTCTGTTTGATCATCTGATTTGATAATCTGATTGGATTATCTGATTGGATCATCTGATTTGATCATCTGATTTGATCCACTCATTTGATTAACGGTATCTGATTTGATCCACTGATTCTCAATATTGAAACTTTATTTGAACCACAGAACTGATCGTCTGATTTGATCCACCGATTTCATTGTTTCTTTAATCCACTGATTTCAACGTTCTCTTTGATCATCTGATTTGATCATTTGATTTGATCATCTGATTTGATCATCTGATTTGATCCACTCGTTTGATTAACGGTATCTAATTTGATCCACTGATTCACTATATTGAAACTTTATTTGAACCACAGAACTGATCGTCTGATTTGATCCACCGATTTCATTGTTTCTTTGATCCGCTGATTTCAACGTTCTCTTTGATCATCTGATTTGATCATTTGATTTGATCATCTGATTTGATCATCTGATTTTCCTTTTGAAATGATCCTCTTAACTTGAAAAAAGCATCATGAATGAGCTCCCGATTTTGAAAGAGTTAGATTTAACCCAAGCTTAAGTGTATAAGATGTTATTAATGATAAGTAAGGATTAAATGTTTGAATATATTACTACTGGTATATACAAAAATATATTTTAAGTTTTCAGAGATATTATATGTATAAAAACTAAGATCAATATTTAACACATATTTTTTTTTAATCTAGAATATCATGATGACTGTTTATGACGTAAATGGCAATTGGGAATTTTCTTGAAACATATTAATAGAAAAAAAGACACATATAAAAACCATCATAATTCTTAAATTCACTTAGAAACCTATTTGTTTGATAGAGTTCACGAACTTTAATTTACTGTACTTTTATGTCATCATGGTGGAAATGTCAATTGCTCTTTTCATCTATTCTTTTGAAACACTTTTAAACTATTACTATTCTAAAATTTTCTTTTAAACCTAAATAGAGTTGACTCTTTTTTAAACCTAAATAGAGTTGACTCTTTGAATACTGAGTGTAAATGAAATAAAACATCATATACTCTAAAATCTAAGTAATATCACTGAAAGTGTATGGTAACAGTGGCTTTACGGGCTTGGGTATATATTGTCTATAATTAAGTGGCCAGTAGACCGTCCAGTAGGGTTGAAGGGTTAAAGAAGGAAAAGAGATACTTGTTTGTCTCGTGAAAATTTCCATTGCTCTTTTCATATATGTTCATAGAAGAACTTTTATTTTGATCCTGAAATTTCTAATACATTAATTAGTATATATGATAATAAGTAGGCAATAAGTACTAATAGCACCTACTCACTAACACTAGGTACTCACTTGTAAACCTAACTAACTTATTAGTATAAGTGGCATGTAAAGATATACTTTAAGTGATGTTGATAGAAGTCAACAGCTTCTCAGACCACAGGTCACAGATATGTGTGACAACTTTCCCACTGTATTCTTATAAATAAGATAATGATTGGAATTATGTAGTATAAGAGGTGAAGAATCCTATAAACAATCAACTTACTTGTGATATCATGCCCACTCATTTTAATATCATCAAGATTCATGTATAGGGTGTTTTGACACCCAATATCTATGAAATTTATGACTCTGGGGTTTATAACCATGAAATTTGGTGCCCATGATAATAAGCATTTCTTAGTACTAAATTAATAAGAACTAAGTAAGTAATCACAATGTAAAAATCTATCTACCTATCCAAAATACAAACGTCATGGTCCAAAAGCCGACACAATGAATGGATTGAAACGTAAAAGTCCATTTAGAATGGAGTTAAATGGTGTCAACAATAACTGTATCCCCTTTTCTAATCCCCTTCCTTCAAACAAGACTGGATAATGACAATTCAATAAGTGAGATTGTCAAGTATTTTTTTATTTTTGACATCCAGTATTACAGAGACAAATAAGTTGATTAAAATTTACCATAAATACCAATAGATAGAATATCCATTAATACCTGATGTTCCCACCTACAGTTCGGTTTTGTATTTAGTATTCAAACAAGACTGGATAATAACAATAAGTGAGATCGTCAAGTATCTTTTTATTTTTGACATCCAGTATTAGATAGACAAATAAGTTGAAAATATCAATAGAAAGAATATCCATTAATACCTGATGTTCCCACCTACAGTTCAGTGTAGTATTTAATATTGATTATTGGATACAATGTGGATTAAAGGAGTGGGCTAAACTACGTATAACTACTATAACTGACTTAACTATGACACATGTGTGACTTCAGTATTCTTCATTGTATTACGTATTCACAACTCAGTCTTTCGTGTATTAGTTAAACTAACTGATGATGACATTGTAAATAGTACAGATTGTGGTTTTTTGTTGTCTACATCAAATTTTTAATTTAAAAACGCTTTCCAATGATTCCAAAGTAAGTTTTATTATTATTTTTGAACAATTAGTAATATTTGATTATTTAGTAAGTAAGTAAATTTTAAGTAAGTAAATTTTAAGTTAGTAAACTGTTTAAGGTTTGTGTAATTCATTCTTAGACTCACAATAAAAGTAAAAGATAATCAGTTCATCCTTTTCAATTAAACCACTGATTTGATCATCGGATTTGATTCAATGATTCAATCATCTGACTTGATCAACTGATTGAATGATCTGATTTGATCCACTGATTGAATGATCTGATTTGATCCAATGATTGAATGATCTGACATAATCTACTGATTGAAATATCTGATGTGATCCACTGATTCAATCATCTGATTTGATCCAATGATTGAATGATCTGACATAATCTACTGATTGAATGATCTGATTTGATCCACTGATTCAACCATGTGGGTAGTGATCCTTGATTTGTTAACCACTGAGTTGATCATCGGATTTGATCCACTGATCTGATTGTCTTCTTTGTGTTTCCGATGTGATTATCTGATTTGAATCACTGATTCAGTCATCTGTGTAGTGATCCTTAATTTCATCCAGTGATTTGATCATCTGATTTGATCATCTGATTTGATCATCTGATTATGCTAGGGTTTGAACTAACCAATACTGATTTGATCAAGCATATTATGCTTTCATCCACTAAGTTTATCATCAAGTCATTATGACTTTTAAAAGCAGGGTTAGTGATTTAGTGATGTGGTAAATCTAGACTGCCATGACTTCATAATGATATAGGGCTCAATTAAAACCTATTGGAAATAGCTGAGCTGTGTGCTACAGACAATGCACATGAAAGATCCCTTCAATAGTTGGAAAGACAAAAAGAGCAGGCAAATGCCACTGTCCTGGCAAATTATCCCTCATTGTACTACTTGGTGTTGCCTACTTCATTAGCCCAGAAGGAGCTAAAAGTAGAACGTAAAACTCCATTCATTTCATTTCATTTCATCAAAAGTTTATCGACAGATCTTTATTTTGATATTATTGTATTATTATTCTACATAAATTATCTGAACTAATTATTTTCATATATAATTATAATCATTAATATCATTGTTAATTACTCTTAAATCAATTAATATCACTCTGAGATATAATGTTTTTGATTTCATTTTATTAGTATTAGTGTTTAGTAAAATAGTGAATTGATTGGACCACAAAATCCACAAGAATGAAGCCATCATGAAAATTAATGATATTACAATAACAGGCAGATCTCAGTCCAAATGAATCCTGGTTCTTTATAAGATGTCATTTGCTTGGTTACATCGAGCATATGGCGACTGTGGGTTCCGATCTCGAGTAGTGTGTGAAAGTCTGATGACCTTAAATAAGTCATCTTCATTATTCCAGTCAACCCAGCTATAAATGGGTACGGATAATCCAGGAAAGATCAATGCCAGCTGGTGTTGAAAAGAAAGAAAGGATCCTAAACTGTGAACTTTGTAAAGTTTCTAATTAATTGTCTTGAAATGTCACAATTTTAATCGACTTTTCTCATTTTTTCTGATTTAATTTCAGATCTTCTCAAGGTGATGCAGGAACTATTGTAGATCATAAAACAGTGTTAGATATGCAGGCTGTAGATGTATATTATAGTAAAAAGATGGCTGACGATAGTCGAATACATCATATTCTAGAAGATGCTATGTTTAAACCTAGAAAAACTGTAAGTTACATTCTGATGCTGTTTTAAAACATTTAGGAAGTCTAAGGAGGTTTTCAAGCTTTTGAAGACACATGGTTCCTGCTATTCCGAGAAAAACTAAGTAATAGTAGTTTCCACAGCTCATTGTCTATATTTTGTGCTCTAAAATCCATGGGTATCCAGAATTATCCACTTTTCGGTATTTTTTAAAGAATTATAAGATTTCTTTACATTTGTAGTACTTCTGAAGACTATTTACATATATTCAAGACCCAAATCAACCTACAAAAATGCAAACCTGTTCCTTTAAATGCAATATTTTTTATTGTTTCCTGTGTAGGACTACTATAATTTTTCTGTTTGTAGTTTGTGAAAGAAAGTCAGTACCAAGTATCAGAAGTTAACAATCACCCACCATTTAAACATAAAGAAAGATTACAGCTTCGCAGACTCATCAGTCAATCCTGCAGAACCAAACCAAATCAAAATGGCGTCATAGTTCACAATTCATTTGATGATCAGAAACCTACAAAGGCTGTCAGTTTTAATAAATTTCCCATTGGAGAACCTATTAAAGGTGAGAAAGGATAGCTTAAACCAGTTTTTCTTCAAGAAGTTAAGAATGCATGTCTAAAGGTGCACTTTGTTGCAGATGAATCTTTGGCTTTCATGAGTTATCTCCCATTAGTCTTCAAATTTTTGGTAAATTAATATTTTGATGATTTTAAATGCCTTGATTTCAAAATATGATTGAGTTTAGCAACTCATGTAATGGTAGATTACATCTGAATGATTCTGTTTAGTGCACACAAATCAATAAATCCATATTTTACATTATAAAGTTCAATAGAACACTGGAAGCTACATGAAGAGTTGTTCCCCTTCTTCTCTCAAACTCTTCTATGTTTATGAATGAGTGGAGGTAGAAAATTGATTTTCCTTATAGTTGAACTGTTTCACAATGAAGATCATTCCTAATTTAGAAAAAGAAGGAAGTATTGTTAAAAGTGTGGGTATGTTTGTTTCAGAAACTGATGAAGAAGGTGTAAATTCAGCCCCTAATTCACCAGATTGTGAGAATTCACCAGTCAAATTTACTCTGGGGCCATCTGAATTAAAATCAACTGAAGTACTTCAAAGTGAGTAACCTGTTTATTTATCACTTAACAAAAGTTTATTGACCTTTATTGATTCAACCAGTTTTGTATTAGGATTGGTTGTATTGTCAAACATGTTCTTTATGAAAAAACTGACTTGTGAGTGATATTCTTACTGACACAGAGTTTTATTAGGGGGACACACCCATATATTGATATGATGAGGATATTTAACTTCATAAATGTAGGCTACTTATATAATAGCAAAAGACCGAAAGACAGTTATATTGAGGATGGGCCTACTGTTTTGAAATTAAATTTAATCATATTTTTATGTACACAAATTAAGGCCTATTTAAATCCATATAATCTAGGAGGTCTTCTAGAATAAACTGGTTTGGTTTAGTGTTGCCTACTGTAGTGTAGCCTACCATTATCTAGTTTATTGATCAGCCTTATACACTGAAAGAATCTCTTGATTTAATATAGTCCAGGATTCAATCCTGGCATAGGTCGCAATGATACCATCTGATTTTTCAACTCAGTTTGGCCAGTTTCACCTTGTCAGTTATGCAGGTCTAGGGCTGACATGGGAAAATCCTATAGTCGTTTGTATGGGACAATAAATCGAGGCCCCTTGTCCTACAGGCTGTGCACGTTCAAGATCAATCAACAGTTGGAAATTGAAAAAGAGTAAGCTAATGCTGCTGCCCTGGCATAATTACCCTGCTCACCCTGTACACCACACTACACAAAAAGGTGCAGAAAAGTAGGACTCATTTCATTTGGATTACTTCAGAAATAGTAAAGAGGTTTTCTAGCTTTTTTTATGTGTATTTGGGGCATCAATTTGTACCATTCCAATTTGCTGTCAGATGTCTGTGTGGTTCCTGTAATTATAGAAATTCTATGATGTACTTATAAAAGACAGCTCATAATATATAATAACCACTGTCATAGTGACCTCATAAAATGCTTAGATCTAGTGGAATTGCAATAACCAGAGACAACTGAATATTAGCAAGTTGCAAATCAATGCTATCAGTGTCTGTAATACAATTAAGAAATTAGAATCCCTTTAGGATTGAAAACTTTGTAGGTGTAGTTGCCTTTTTTTCAGATAATTATGATTGTTCATCATATTTCATACAATTTTGATACTGATAAAGCCAAACTAGTTCTGGCTATGTTTTAGATCTCCAGTACACATCGGTAAAAGTAACAAAGACAATTGGGTCATTAGTTACAGAACTTAGAAGTTAGAACTGCTTTAAAGGAACCTCTTAGAACGGACATAAAAATTATTATCTTGAACTTGATCAACAAGTGGATATATTCATCAGTTGAACTTACCAGGTGCCATGATTAAAAAATAGCATCTCTATATAAGACAATCTATCCATTAACCTGTATAATTATTGAAACACGCTTCTAAGCATGTTTCAAAATTACTTAGTGTAATGAATTATTACTTAGTGTTATAGATTTATTGGATTATAGAAGGATTCTGTTGACACCAAGTCTACTGATGAACAAAGGCTCATTTTGGCCAGGTCATACTAAGAGGTCTTATAGGCTACCTTTAAATAGTGTAATTTGATTTAAATAATGTAATAACTTTTATGTCCCACAGTGACAATAAATTATAAGATGACTGCCTTATTTCTACATCCATTTGACAAATGAATAAGATAAAAAACGCAAGACAATTTATTGTTGTTGGGTTTAGCATATCATAAAATAGACATTATTTTATTTTAATGTCTATGAAGATTTTATTAGAGGAATGTGAACACAAATGCATATTCAACTACTGGCTATAAGACACATATTTCAGGATGATTCTTGGTAAAGTTCTAATTTTCACATGTGCTTGTGCTTTTTTGAGATTCTAGATATTATTTGGAATGGAGATGGATTAATTAAGGGATACCTTTGAATGGACTCTCTTGTTTCACTTTTGATGTCAAATTTTTGACCCTCAAGAATGTTCTACTTATGGAAGCTGTGAATGGATTTGGATCTATTTCTTTATTTCGATAGTCTTGATAGGATTATGCTAAGTTTAAAAAAACATGAATTTTATTGATTTCTATGAAAATTTGAGAGAGAATTGATCTTGTAATGTTGTTTTCCAATAATTTCAATGGAGGAAATAATCCACGTTTCACCATGTGGTAAAATGAAATGGGACGAAACGGGAAGGAAAGTGGTGAAATGGGAATAAATTGGGGGTGATAAAGGAATAAACTAAACCACCATTATAGCAACACCACCACCAACTAACCACTCTTCAGTGTTTGAAGTATTTCAATCCTCCATTAGTGATAATCATGAGAAGGAAAACGACACATTACCTCCTCCTCCTTGGAAACAAAATAATGATGAAAATGAACCAATCACAGCCCATGTTTCCAATGCAATGTCCGATAAAGCTAATAATGATTTGCAATCATGTCATCATGACAACAAATGTATTCCGTCAACTCATTCTGTGATCATTCCAAGTGAATATGGTGATGAACTGCCCAAAAGTTCAGGACTTCCAGGAAGTGCTTCTGATTCCGTTCTACCTAAACACTGGCAACCAATAGAAATGCAGACACTGCCTAAGAAGCGTTCTATGGTGGATGCTGAAGCATTAATGGATGAAATAGCATTTCAACATGAGGTTTCATCACGAGTGCAAAAGTGGCTAGAAAATAGCAACAGTGATGTTGATCCTGGAGATCAGAAAATGGAGGATGTTGAACCATGTGATAATGATATTGACAATGATGATCAATATGATTCAGATATCGAAACTAGCCATCTATGATCAAAATTAATAGAATTTAGGAATTTATTAAAAATGATTCTTTCAAGAATTTATATTTGTTACATTAAGAATATAAAAGACAAAAAAATGCTATTTACTATGGCTAAGTTTTAGCTAATTGCTTTGACTTTTTTTTAGGAGCATCATTGTTTAACTTTGATCTCAAACTTGTTGCAAAATGCTATGTATCATTTTATGTTTTTATCAAACATGGTTTTATGCCATATATCATGGGTGACGGGTTGAAATATGACGGGAAATTACTTTTCAAGAAAAACGCAAAAAAATAATTTGAGTACTCCGACCTATTCAACCAATAACTTGTATAATAGTATAGTATACGAGGTTTTTCGTTTTCATCCGCAGAAAAAGGAACATTGAACCTCGTAAAATATTATGTTTTATGAGGTTTTAAATCTGACTGTTTATATGCGTGTTATTTACAATCAAGATAAGAATAAGAGGTTTTGATCACAAGTCAAAATGACCAAATATGGCATACATGTGGTTTCAAGCAGTCACCCATGTCATCTTTTATATTTATTTTGCAAGCTTTTTAGCTTACAGTTTGCTTTGCAATTTTAAACTTATGTAATACTTATAAAAAGATCAGATTTATTAACATCAATATTTTCATTGTTCATTTAGGTGAGATAATATAATCAAGGAGGTCAAAGTTCATTTATTCATATTATGTGACATACAAATTATCAATCTTGTGCAAAGTCAATGTTATGTTATCTATTATGATGTCATCAAAATGTTCATGCCACATTTGTCAAGTGAGTGAAGGAAATGTTTTATATTCAGACATTTCAGTAATCAAATCAGACATTAAAGACAATGTAAAGAGGTTTCCTAATTTTTTTATGTGTATCCCTGACACTGATAGCATGAATTTGAACCATTCTTATTTTCAATCAGACATCTGTGGTTCCTGCAATTCCACTAAAACTGATTGTTCAAATTGATGGTATCAGTGTCCCCGAAACACATACAAATATAGATTGTACATCTTTACATTCCCTTAAAGTTTGTCAAAATATGTCTCTGAAAAATCATATTTAGACCTGAAGTAGGCTACATGACAGCCTTGATGCATTGCGAAGCTTTTAACATTTTCATTTACTGAGTCATATCTGTTGCAAGTAGTATTTTGCAACTATTTTTATTGAAATGTTGCTATTTTCATGCATTATGCAATAGTTTTGCCTTGATCAAAATGTAACGGATTAGTCCACTATATTGGAATACAGAGCATGTAAATCTGTCCACATTTGGTATTAGTATTAATATTATTAATGCGTAATTTGAATGTGTAGTTTATATCTAGTTCTTACAACGAATTTTGAATGATTTACTATAGAAACAGGGTTGTTAAAAGGATACTACCTCTAAGAATCTACATAAAACTTAAAGTCTCGAATTTCAAAATGTGTTTCAAAATTACTTAGTTTAATGAATTATTACTTAATTTTATGGATTTATCGAGTTGTAGAGAGATTCTGTTGTATAATTATGACACCAAGTGCCAAATTTCAATTTTTGGTCATCATAAGAGGTAGTATACCTTTGATATGCCTCTATTGTCAGTCATGTTTACCGGTAGCTAGGACATTATGCTAAAGACGGTCCTAAATAAATCAGAGCGCAAAGTTCTTTGTAAATAAAAATGATAAAAGGTATCTAAGTATAGTTTTGTTCAATGGGCAAAAAAGAAAATTACAAGCATCCATGATGAAACAGAAACAGAAATTTCAGGCAGCCATTTTGAATTGTGCTGACTTGACCTTGTTTGGTTTTCTTTATTGAAGAGTTCAAGTGTTAGCTGGGTGCAGAACATTATATTTCAACACAATGTTTGTGATGGTTCATTACAATTTTCACATAAGATTGAACCAAAGTGCCTTATTCACAGTATTCAATTAATATAGCATGATCAATTACAAATCATGTTTAATCAAAGTAAAAAAAACATACAAAGGTTAAAATAACAGGGTTTCTGTTCAGTTATATTCACCAATCATGTCTTGCTGGAGTTACAAAATGTGTGTTTATGATTGATAGTTAAGGGTCAATTTTGTAATGATTTCTTTAGTCATGACATTTTTATATAAATAAATTGAAATATCACATTATGTGACAGCCAAGGTTGTGATCTTTTTTATGGTACTGATTTAAAAAAAGATTTAAAGCAAAAAATTAGAAACAGGGTCATTACAAATATTTTGGATATGAAATCATGCTAACTTATGTCATTGAATACAATCATATCATCCATGACACACAATCATTTCCATTATTATCATTAATTTTCATGATAGTGCTTGAATTTTATTTCAGATGTAATGAATTGCGTCATTTATTTTTAGTGATTTTAATTTGAAGATCAAATATTTTTGAATATTCACCAAGATTTTTGTAAATATTTTGTTCAGAATAATTTTTTTTTGATTAGGTTATTTATCTTATTGGATCAATGGTTATAATTTATTAAGCATTACTTGTTATTCATACTTATATCAAATGCAATAATATTGGAAGTTCATTAAAGGGACAGATGCACCATTTTAAGTCTTCAAATCCATGTGTGTCCAGAATTATCCACGTTCGTCTTTTTATGAGACACTGCCATTTATAAAAAATAATTTGTGGAATTACAGAAACCATGGATATCAATTCCCAATACACATACACAATTTAGGAAACCTCTTTATAATCCCTTCAAGTTTCCTTTAAAATTTATCCAAACAAACCCACAGAAATATGTCATCATTTGGGCACAGTATGATCATTTATTCAATGACACTATGAATTAGCAAACATTACATTTCGTGTCATCATGCCTCTATTTCTAAATTATAGGACTTGAGTGTGCAATTTTCTGTATCATTATGAGAAGGGTTATTGAAAATGATCAGTTTAGTTATAACATGTGTGAATTATGTTTATTTATGTACATTATTATATTATTATAACATTAAAAATATAAATTTTCTAAACCATCAACGTAGATACATTATCTGTGGTTATAATGTACATAAATTAAATTATATATAATTATAACATTATCATTATAAATTTTTAAATTTACGTACATACACTATCACAAGAGTTGTCTTCCAGTTTTATGCATTACTTTAAGTTATCACCAAAGACTTAGTTTTTATGAATAGCAAAATATATACCATTGTTTAGCGCATTAACTAAGGTTTCTAGCCTATTATATTCATTTGGGTAAAGTTTTTATCAGTGGATTTCTTATCTCTATACAGACATCTGTGTATTGAGAAACATAAAACTCAACCAGATCATAATGCTACTGTGACAAATATTACATGAATTGAAAGGTATTTGTGATATCATTGTCATATCGTGGTCAAGTTTTTCTGGAATAGGAGAAATCAGCTTAGCCGTGATATACTAAAAATAGAACATATCTATGTCTTGAGTAGGACAATTGGTAGGACAAACCACTCTTACAACTCTTAACATTTTGCATCATATGATTGCATCCTTGTAAAACTCGGTTTTGGAGTGTTCACCTGTATTATTTGAATTATTAAATGAATATTCTTCAGGGCTGTTCATTTATTTTTTTGTCAACTGGACATTTTTCAAGGACCTGTGAAATCTTTTTGTAAAAGAACCAGTGCTTTCATGGAGACTCGTCTCAAAACAATTCTAAGAGGGCTGAATGACAAGTGAAAAAAAATGTAATTTTATCATGTTTTTTAATTTTATGTGTATACCTGCTTAAATTTTGCAACCACTTCAGTGAATTTTATCAAAATGCCTACAGTGATTCTTAAATTTGATTGTGATCAATTTTATTTTTTACTGTGTTTTTTCCAGTGTAAATATTGAATGTAAAATATTTATAATAAAATATAAATTATAGAACTTTGTTTTTATTTAGTTTCTTCTGCAACATTAGTCATACCGGCATTTGCGCATAAAGCAATCTGTACTAAAAAATCAAGGCACTATTATATGTATTTTTAATGTGGAAAATAAAAAAACACAAGGGGTATATTATGGTATAACTCACTTCTTTTATAACAAAGCACATAACGTTTCAACACAATTTACACGTTTTGTCATCAGATGTCGTTCAAATCTTATGTGCAATGAGAGCCTTTTTGCAATTGCCCTGAAATCCATATTTAAATGATGAAAAACTGGGGCCCTTAAAGCCATTTGCTCATAAAAGACTGCAGAGATGAGTGATCAAGGAATACAGTTTTCTAATTATTGATAAAACTCATTGGTGTAGAAATTGCTTCCCTTGAGTCGATCTGATGTAGATCTGAATGTCTTGTTTAAGTTTATCTGTTCTAGGTTCTTAATATATTAAACCAATCAAATACTGAGGTTAAAACAAGATTTACTATGAACAAGTGAGGTCCAAATTAGCTTGAACATGACATCTGGAAGAATTCTGTAAGATCATAGATGACAAGTGGAATATCCATTGTAAAAACATGAAATATGAGTTATATACATTTACATTAGTTAAAATATCTACGTCCAAGGATAGTTCTATTTGAATATTATGACAACACAGTACTTACTTTACATGACGTCATTTGCTATGTCGAGCAAATGGCTGTGGATTTTTATCTCAATCGGCGTGTGGAAGTCTAATGACCTTGAATAACGCAAGGCATGATAATCTCCACTCATAATTCCAGTCAACCCAGCTGTAAATGAGCATGGATAATCCAGAAAGATCAATGCCAAGAGGTTTGGTCAAGAGCCAGCTGGTAGAAAGTATCCTTAACTGTGAACCAAAGTTATTATCCTTGTAAAAAATAGTTGTTTCTGTCTTTCTGGCCACAAAAAGATCAGATTGCCATAAAGCTGAATATATTTATTCTAATAGGTAACCAATAAATAGGTACATGTATATCTAATATATATATTTCTAAAATATCACAGTATTAAGATCAATTACATAATGAAAGCTGACACGCTCGTACAAAAATGTGTCTTGAATAAAATTATAACACGTTGGATACCATAAGAATCTAAGGTACCGTCACTGATGGTATTTATGTTAAAAAAATGCTCAACTCTATTGCTGGGGCTGCAAGCATGTTTTATCACCCGATCGTGGCGAATCTTAAAATTGCTCAAAACATTCGCTGCTTATGTCGTTGAAAAATTCGCTGCGATTTTAATCGTTGTGATCAGGCGAAAAAATACGCTCAACTGCCTCAAGCTTTCTAGTTTCAGTATATCATCAACCTTTTTGAAATTTCATGTCAGCTTTAACTAAAAAGATTCACAACATTAAAGCACTTCATGCCAGGATTAGGAACATTATATTCTTAAGTATTTTTTGAATATTATTTATAAGATTATTTGAATAAGATTTAAAAATCTATAAAGGTGCAAAATTCTCACATTAAAAAATCAACTGTGCATTTCAAACACAAATCAAATTGAGACAAACTTATATTGACTAAATAGTTATTCATGAGACATTGATATGATTAACTTAATTACTCATTGGTTAGAATGGGTGCACATTATATTCCCAATTATACAGTATATATAGTTCCTTGTTGAGAAATATATTTATCATGAGACAGCTTAAAACTTATTCTGAAATAATTGTTATCCTAATTTTTAGTAAAATTTTAATAAATTATTAACATCAATGTCATTAATGCTGATACAAGATGGACAAGACTTTGGTCATTCCTGATATTTGGCAAAAATTCTTGAATATCATTATCAAAATTCTGCAGACAACATTCTTGGTTTCTTTGCAAACATGCATGAGTCTGCTTCTGGTAAGAATGTATGCTTAACTATAGTTTTGAACGTAAGCAGATCGTTCTAGAGTGTAATAGCCAGTTGGGGCTGGTGATCCACCACTCATATGTAATGGAGGTGCACCAGAAGGGTAGTTATGAGAACTATTATTTATGTTGGCTGGGTAACCTGAGCTACCTGGGTAACCACGCTCCTCTTGGTATGTTTTATCTCTGATATATGGCATAGGTGGATGGCTTGTGGCATAGGTTGAATTCATGTAGTCTGACCTTGCTCTAGCAGGAATCAGTCCTTTACTTTTGTCCTGAAAAACGATTTTTAAAACATTTTACATTTTTAACCCAATTTTTCTTCAAAAGCAAGTTTTGACAGGCAATAAAGTTTATACAAATTCAAACAGAGAGAGAGAGCTAATTATGAGGTAAACTTTGTACTTTAAATTTCACAAAATCTTTAAGAAATAAAAAAATTGAGGATTTTTCAATTTTCAATTTTTCCATGCAGAAAGCATTACAATGAAATGGATTTGCTTGAACTGCAAATATGATTTTGACAGGCAGGTTTGGAAAATTAACCAATTATAATTTACAGTTATCTCCCCTGATACCTCTATTCTGTAACTGAAATATGGTCTCACATTTCAAACATAAAATGCAAGGTGGCGCTCAACTGGAGAATTCTGCACGTTAGGGATTTATGGAATCAACAGAACTTTCAATAAAACAAGTTGGAACAGAGTTCGGTGTTCCATGTGTGCCGAAAAAATAGTTGGTGCAGACAGAATTCAAAATGGCGGAGGAGATAGAAGGAAAAATTTTGAATGTGACATATCCACTTCCGTACAGTTTAATTGGGGACAGGATTAGAAATGACAAAACCTGTTCAGAACTTTTCAATCGAGCGCCACCCCAGATTTCACAGAATACTGCTACTCAATTGAACCCAATTAACATTAGCAGTCACTCTATTGACCACATGTTTACAGGGTATATACAAAAGCAGCCTGTTTTCCGTGATTTTAAAGCCCCCACAGCAGGCACTAGTAATATGATGTGGAATTTTGGGGTAGGCCTGTATGACATCTTATTCTTCGACACTCAGTGTTCAAAGGGGTATTTGCTCCTGAAAATTTCAACTCTAGCTCACATGTTCACATACCTCCATCATCCTAGCTTGAATTTCAATTGGACCATAAAGATGTGGATGTAATGGTCTAGCTTGTGTAAATAAACCACCAAGAGCAGCGTAACCTTGGTGACCACCAGCTGCTAGTTTGACAGATCTATCAGTTCGGACCTGGAAAACAACAGCAATACATAAATTTTCAATGAACACAGAACCTGTAGATATATGTGAACAGGCTGTATTTTGAAATATTAATATCATGATATGAAACAAGACTTACAGTGTTCAAGACATTCAGAGCTTGATTTTTATCATGTTCATACGGGAAAGCACTTAAAATATATTCTTCACCTAATTTAGTTTCATTGTCAGTTAAAACTCTGAAAAAATAAAAAAAAATGTTAGAATTTTTTATTATCTAATTTAAAGGGACAAGTGCGCCATTCCTTTTAACAATCAAAATCTTTGTCTCAGAAACGGGAATGTTTTCTCTAAGCCAATCAGTAATAGCGTTCAAAGTTCACTGTTGACATGACAATTGATATATGTGCGTCCAGAATTATGTGCATTTGAAACTTTTTCGTGAGACACTACCATATATAGAAAAGACATCTATAGAAATAGGAGTTTACTGCATTTAACATAAAATTGAGGTGCACGCTAGGCTGTATCCTTCTGAGCTTTCCAAATTAACTTTAATTTTTCCAACTGTGAATACAAAACTTTGCAAAAATATTTTATACCTGTGGTGTTAAAAAAACCAATACCTACCTTTTGATACATTCTAAAATGTCTATCTTATCTTTATGGATACTGACTGCACCAATAACTTCTTTGGCTTCTTTACATGTCATAGACTCTAATCTCTATAAATATATACATAAAAGAACTGCATCTAATAAGTAATGCTTCTGACAATCTGTTTAAGTGCTTCCTTTATTATTTTTCCTGTGGGTGATACAACTTTAATGTCCATTAAAAATATTCAACCAATCAAATGCTCCGAAACATAAATAATTAACAATGATGTGTTAGGAATTCTGGGATATGCGTATAAAATAGTAACTGATAGCTTTCGAAAGGCTTTTGAGTTCAAGTTTAAATTTGAATTTCCACTAAAAGATATTGTGCTTACACCTGATGAGTTTTTTAACCTTTCCAGAATAAAATATGGCTCATAATGGTTATTTAATAATACTTACAGATTCTAAAATTTTAATAGCTTGAATCTTATGTGGAGCACATCCTATACATTTTAATATTTCAGCTGCCTAGAAACAGATATGTTATAATTTTTCATTCAGTTGCGTAAAATATTCAAATCCTGTGTTCATACAGCTTTTCATCAACATCTCAAATTACAAAACGACTTGAATCCTGCGCATAAACCTTTCATTTTTAAATGGAGATTTTCTAAACCTTTGATGTGAATCACTGTTAGCATCAATTTTTACCATTTCAATTTTCAGTCAGATGTCTGTAGTTCCTGCAATTCCACTAAATCTAAGCGTTTGATGACATGACTATCACAAAGTCTGCTTATATAATGTCCCTTTGCAACAGAGTCAACATAAAATATTATGTTGAATTGGAATTGCAGAACCCACAGATATCTGATTGAAAATTGAAATAGTGCAAATTGATGTTACCAGTGTCTCCAATACCCACTAAAATTTTAGAATTCTCTAAACCTCTGATTCTAGTTTTCCTATCTAAAAGACAACACTTCTCAATTAAAACTTTTAGTAGGCATAAAGTTTAAGATTGTGGTGGATTTCATATCAAAAACTAAATGACTTTTTACCTGTGCAGCACATACTGTACCATTTGATTCAAATAAAATTTCTAACTTTCTTCTTGAAGAATCAGTTTCCTACAAAAAAATATCAAAAATCATCAATTGTTATCTTTACAGTAGCCTACTTGTAATTAAAACAGTCTGGTATAAACTCAATATGTTAGTGTCAGCATTTAAAGTGACAGGTAGGCCATTTTTTTGACCAACCATACTTTAGTCGTAGAAACTGGAATTTCAGTTCTAGTGTTCACAGCTCACCGTCGAAATTTGAGCCTTCAAATCTATGAGTGTCCAGACATGTAAGCAATTTTTTTTCCCAATCATACTTTAGTCTTAGAAACTGGGATTTTTGAGCTGAGCTAATCAGTAATAGTGTTCAAAGCTCACTGTTAAAATTTGAGCCTTCACATCCATGTGTGGCCAGAATTATCTGTGTTTGAATGTTAAAATGAAGACTCGTAAATTTAAGATACCCTGTATTCTATGATAAAAGATATTATAGAAATAGTGAGTAAAATTCCTTATTTGAAGTATTTTTGAAAAGATTATGTGACTTTCGTACATTTCTAGTACTTCTGAAGACTATCTACATATTATATTCAACACTAAAATCAACCTTCCAAAATAGCACACCTGTCCCTTTAAAAAGTGTCATTTTATCAGTAACCAGTGAAGTGAAAATAAGTCTTCCAAAACCTCAAAATTAATCTCATTCTCAGGCCATCTCTGCTGGCAGCACCTACTACTCTCTGACTACAATGTTTTATTAGTTGAATATTGGATATCGTTTCTGTTTGAATTGAAATATCAATTACAAAATACTACTGAAAGAGTCATGTAGTAAGATAGGCTATTGTGTTTGGGTTGATGAAAATGAAGACATTCTAATGCAATGGCATACAGTTGAAAATTTTTTTTGAATATTCTAATGAGAGAAAAAATTCAAAGTTCGACCAATAATGTAGACAGAGAGTAGATCACCAGAACAGCGGTTTCAATGGGCAGGGCTAGACCAAAAACAAAAGTAGAGAATGTTTACCTTGGAAACGTACGATATATAAGTTGCTAAACTTACCTGATTCAACATGTTTATTAGTCGATGAAATTCATTTTCATACATAGGTTGAACAGCCATATTTCAATGTATATTTGAACGTAATTTTAAACGTCCAACGCCACAAAAAAGAAATAGTTTAGAAAGAACAATGGGTACCTTCGCAACAAGAGACAAGTTTGTTTACAGTTTAATGCGCATGTCCGGGATTTTAAGAGGAAAACTTTTCACTACCGAAGATAATCCGAAAAGTTCTTATAACTATTCGGTAACCATTTCTTTGACGGTAATCATAAGGTTGACAAAAATTGTGCTGGATTTGAAATAGAAATCAATTTCGAGTATATTGGGTAGAATGACATTATCAGAAAACAGTTTTTATGGCACGAACTCTAACATTTAATAAGGAAGAATTAGTGTTTCAATTTAACTTTTGCAAAACAATAGAAGAAAAAATCAATGCAAAGACAATGCTGGTTGTTAACGTCTCAGCACACAAAAACAATAGGCCTACTATTGCTACTTATAGCACATTATTTGAGTTAAAGGCACTGTTTGAATAGGGAATGCTTTTTATTCAAGGCGTCCTTTTAAATTCATATCCTGTAATCGAGGTTAAGTGTTCTTTCTGCAGAACGACAAGAAAGAACGACATTAGAGCAACAAGATCTCGTCAAGTTAAGCGCACCGATTGATTGGAAATCTTGCCATTTTCGAATATATAGAAAGGCGGAGAATAGCCTAGATCTAATGCAATTTTGGAAACGAAAATAGAATATTTTTATTCATTTTTATGACCCGGATATGGGACGGGGATATGGCACCCCCAATACGCCTCTGAGCTCATATTACATCCCATAAGAAAAAGATAGATGTCGTTTATCAATTTAGGGCCATTTTAAATAGAGGTCATAATTGATAAGATATAGATATTATTATGACCACAATTACTATATTTAATAGCGTTTAAAATGTTTGGAAAAAATAGTAGGCCTACCTTCCAATATTATTAGTTTATGATATGTTTAGGCCATAAATCTTCAACATGTAAAGATAGGTGACTAATGCATTACACTGTGAATAGCTCTTGAGAAGGTAAGACAACTTTTCGCCATCATCTCCCTGGTTAAACGTTAAATGTTATGCAGATTGAACGCAACGCTCAAAGTCTTAGAACCTTCGGCTTATACCTTGACTCCAATAGCCGCCTTTCTTGTTTCAAGGAATGCAGTGATTTGATTAGATTGTAGGCCGGCGAATACAACCTTATTTTAACATTATAACTTGGAGTTTACAGACTTTTATGTCGAGGCCTCTGATTGGCTGTATTTGTTAGCTTAGTTTTAACCAAATCACTGCATTGATAAACTTACGTGTTACAAGAAGCTGGCTTTTGGAGTCAAGGTATAAGACGAGGGTCGTATAAGACTTAGAGCCTTGTGTTCAACCTGTTTAACATTTAATATTTGACTACAAAGTATAGGTTGTGACGTCTGCGTCGAACAAACTGGACTCATAGGCCTACTTCATTTTACAGAACAGCAATTCAACCGACTACATAATTTATAGGTCCATGGATAAATTATCACGGCATGCCACTGACAGAGCTGCCCTTTTTGAAGAATGGAATTGAACATTGAAATGTGAATTTACAGAATTATGAAATAATTGATGTTTGAAATTGTACATAATTGTCAATAAAAAACACGAAACAATCGTGACAAAGTAGAACTGTTATTTAGCAGACTGTGACACGATAACCGTGAGCCACCATTATCTAAAAGTAGGCTGTACTGATATCCCACTAATTTCGAGTTGTAAGTCAATGTCGAATGTTTTATTTATTTAAATCTTCTATCACTAAGTGAATGATTCTGGAAATTGTAGGCTATTCCGAACCTTGTCTTTTGAGTTTTGATATTAATGATATTTTTTGTGAATGTTATACTAACTTATTAAACAGTTTGGTCGTTATAAAATAACGGCAGGATTTTTTGTATGTAAAACTTTCAGGAAATTGGTGTATAGTTTTCATAAATTTTGGTAAATTGTTTTTTACAACCTACGAAAAATCATGATACCCCTTTAAAGTTTAAACTCTTTCATGTATGACGACCTTATGGAAGTAAAATGTTTCTATGATTCTATTTGATTTGTATGATTATATAGCCTAAATGATATAATTAAATACGTCGGTACGATCAAGAAGCGAGATTTTATTATAGGTGAACAAATACTGCAATTCTTTTTCATAGTGGGTATTTTTTATTTTTTACTTAAGGTTTAGTTTTAAAACAAGAGATCGGGTTAAAACTTTATTGTAATAAGGAATTTGTTCAAAATTCGTGTAAAATGGTTACACTTTGGTGTGCATCATTCGATTTTTTTTTAAACAAATTTGAATTTGACAAATTTGAACTTTTTATCGACTCTCAAAATTATTTCAGTAGGCTACAGAAAGTGTATATAACAAAACGCAAGACGATATTATGGAATATAACACACTTCTTTGATAAGGTTAGGCACATAACGTTTCAACACAATATACACGTGTCGTCATCAGATGTGTTGAAACGTTATGTACCTAACCTTATTATCGAAGTGTGTTATATTCCATAATATTGTCTTGTGTTTTGTTATATGTGCCCTTCGCTTCTATATGTCATTCAAATCTTACTACAGAAAGTGTAAAAAACCATTTCAAATAATTTTGATTAATTGTATCTTTGAAAATAGGACAAGTCTTACTGTTTTAATCAATTTTCATGAAATTTTTGAAGTTTTTCGTTTTACAAACCGCATATCAAAGTGGCCATATTTGTGCAATGGTTTGTACCTCTTATTGTACCCAATACGCTTCTTTCTAAACAAATAAATTTTATACGTTTTTGTCCCCAAGAATTATGTCAGAATGTAACCAAATACCTCCACTGAGTCTTCCCCGATTTTAAACCCCCAGTTTGCGGAACTGGCCAGATAAGTATACTTATATACTAGTATACTTAAAATTTACATAATCATGCATATGATAGATACTGTTGAAGTTTTTTCAAATTATAAAATATAGACCTATATCAAATGCTGACGTCCTCTAGAGAGAAGATATGGATTTTAAGTCCATAAATACGGTGGTTCGTATACGACATCATTTAATATTAATATTTAATATTTAACTACAAAGTATAGGTTGAGATGTCTGCGTCGAATCAACTGGACTCATAGGCCTACTTAATTTTACAGAACAGCAAATTAACCGACTACATAATTTATAGGCCCATGGATAAATTATGACGTCATGACACTGACAGATCTGCCCTTTTTTGAAGAATGGAATTGAACATTGAAATGTGAATTTACAGAATTATGAAATAATTGATGTTTGAAATTGTACATAATTGTCAATAAAAAACACGAAACAATCGTGACAAAGTAGAACTGTTATTTAGCAGACTGTGACACGATAACCGTGAGCCACCATTATCTAAAAGTAAGCTGTACTGATATCCCACTAATTTCGAGTTGTAAGTCAATGTCAATGTAAGTTATGGAATATAACACACTTCTTTGATAAGGTTAGGCACATAACGTTTCAGCACAATATACACGTGTCGTCATCAGATGTGTTAAAACGTTATGTACCTAACCTTATTATCGAAGTGTGTTATATTCCATAATATTGTCTTGTGTTTTGTTATATGTGCCCTTCGCTTCTATATGTCGTTCAAATCTTACTATAGAAAGTGTAAAAACCATTTCAATTCTTTCTGTTTTAATCAATTTTCATGAAATTTTTGAAGTTTTTCGTTTTACAAACCGCATATCAAAGTGGCCATATTTGTGCAATGGTTTGTACCTCTTATTGTACCCAATACGCTTCTTTCTAAACAAATAAATTTTATACGTTTTTGTCCCCAAGAATGTCAGAATGTAACCAAATACCTCCACTGAGTCTTCCAGATTTTGAACCCCCAGTTTGCGGAACTAGCCAGATAAGTATACTTATATACTAGTATACTTAAAATTTACATAATCATGCATATGATAGATACTGTTGAAGTTTTCTCACATTATAAAATATAGACCTATATCAAATGCTGACGTCCTCTAATGAGAAGATATGGATTTTAAGTCCATACATATACGGTGGTTCGTATACGACATCATTTATTTTTTCAATTTTGAATTAAAAAACTGGAATATAATTTAAAATTTTCATCCGGGTGAAAATTGATATTCAGCCAGATAAAAATTCCTGAATTTAAAAAAAAAAAACATGAATTTTAAATTAAAATGCGACAGCGCCGTAGATGCGATATAGGCGAAGGAATCCCAGTTGGTAAAAATAGCTTTGATTTGATGCAAAATTATTCGTGGTGAGTTTCTTGATGCTCTGACTGTATATATTGGTAACGATTTGATCGACCACTTATTTTTGGTCATACGATTGAAGGAAGTTTTGCAATAGCTTAAAATTGCGATTACTTGTAACTGGAGGGGTAACACAACAGGATATTTAATGACGACTTAATTAATATACCCATCAAGGTTGATTTATTATTAATATCTTAATTACTGGATGCTAAAGGAAATTCTTCTCTATTTTGTGTATGACGAAGGTTTTATTTTGTATACAGTTTGGTTGTTTAATTTGTGTGGAATTTATTCTATTTTGTGTATGACGAAGGTTTTATTTTGTATACAGTTTGGTTGTTTAATTTGTGTGGAATTTATTCTATTTTGTGTATGACGAAGGTTTTATTTTGTATACAGTTTGGTTGTTTAATTTGTGTGGAATTTATTCTATTTTGTGTATGACGAAGGTTTTATTTTGTATACAGTTTGATTGTTTAATTTGTATTGAATTTATTCAACCCTATAGTTTTTATCCCCCATGGTACTTACCATATTGAAAAGGTAAGATAATTATAATTTATTTG